ATATATATATATATATATATATATATATATATATGTCACAGATAATCCAAAAATAATGATAAATATTCAAGAAAACTGCTTTCAAATCATCTCAATAAAAAACTTACATCATCAACTTTGTATATATCGATATCTTCTTCAAATGCCTTTTTTGCTTTCCATGCATCTTTATTTTCTTCCCATTCCTAGAATAGAATAAACCATCGAACTTTCATTATTATAAAACAATCTGTGCAAAACAACAACATGAAACTTCTTTACCTTTTCAGCTTGCAAACGGGCTTTGATTTCAGCGTCCATTTCTAATGGTATTAATAAACCATCATCATCATCCATGTAACCATAATAGTCTGCATCGACAAATTTGATTAATTCTATACGATTCTTTCGTGGCTCGCTGATCTCAGCCTTTTCGAAAAGTTCTCTAACACCAGGCAAATCTTTAGCGGCTCCAAAGTATTTGTATCCTTTACTTCCCGCTACTTCACGTCCTTCTCGATCTAATTCCTTAGGTGCTACTTTTCTGCAACATTTCTATCAAAAAACGCCAGATTTCAAACAAAAAAAATCATTTCAGCCCATCCACTTGCATGAGCTTACAAGAAATACAAGAGCACACCGGTAATCTTGTCCTCCGAGTTCCTTAATTCTTATTTCCCATGCATATTTTACTCGCAGTAACTTGTTTATCTCATCATTCAAGTCTCGAATTTTAAATTCTCCCAAACCTGGGTTCTGTATTAAAGCAATTTTCTTAGCGATTTCCATTGTAACTTGTTTTCTGTACCTTTCTGCATCATCTGAAAATATGTCAGGAATAAAAACAAATCTTTAATTCTAGCATAATCACATTACAGTACTAAGTAAAACTTACTTAATGTATTACATTCACTAACATCATTTGGACGTTTTGCAACTGGACCTTTTTCTTCCTCTTCTTTCATTCGACGCCATCTGGCTAGAGCAGTCATTGCTTTTTCTGCATTTCGAGCCTTAATTTCATACTTATATAAAACTATACAAAAGTAACATACTCATCGTGAAAAAAAAAATATTTTAGAAGTAATGAGTTAAACACCCAGTATGAAATTCAATATTACTTGTTTAAAGTAAGCGAAAAGCTGACAAAAAGTGAAAAATACTTGAAAGACCAATTCAATAAACACTTACCATACTGAATTGAAAATGAAGCTGAGATCAGCCTGGAAATATCCCCACTAAGCAGTATACGCAACACACCTCTCTACAAATTCTAATAGTTATGCATGCTATTACATATAATATTGCATGCACTTCGTCACTACAAAAGGGTTATAGTACACTATTGCAAAGAACTTAGTTTTGATGCCAGATCCGAAAAACCGCCGTATTTAGTCCTTGTTTACATCTCCTACAGTTGCTTCTAACCTACCTACATGCAAGCAAAATACTATTAGTAATTCTTAAATAAAAAGGTAGTGAAAGTATATTGCTTCAGAAAAAGCATCCACATCTCCATGAGTTACAAAGATTAGAATCGATTGCGTGATAATGAGATTATTTTTTGATATATATCGCATTTTCGTTGTCCAAGAAATGTTAAATATTTGGCATTTTTGTGCTCCAAGAAATGTTAAATATTTGAGATTCTTATACTAACGACCAATAGAATTACATATTTTGAATTTTATCTGATAATGAACAGAATCAATAGAAAAACGGCACAGATGACGATGGAAGGTTACGAAAATCTAGAAATAAATAAATCATCACAATTTGCAATAAGTTATTTGCCAAAGCCCACTCATTTTGAACTTTCAATACACCTAACATTTTGAAGAAATAAATCAAGTACTGAAATATTTATTCAATACAAGGTAGCAATAATACGTCTTCATGGTATAGTTAAAAAAACCATTAAGCAATGACTTAATAAATGGTGAAATTCAATAAAGCTTTTTTAAAACATTTCATCTAACTATACACATGTGACAAATCCCTTACAAGTTCTCATCAGTGCCATGCATGTAAATTATAAAATATCAAATTTAAATGTACAAATCGTCAAATTCATATTTTTTTAATTCAACGATCCATTTGATCCGCTACTGCATCAGTATCTTCTTCATTGTAAATATTGTCAGCCATCTGCCAAATTTGCATAATATTGTCCTCTGATACAGAGCAAACAACCCATGGTTCATTAGGATTCCAAGAAAAGTCCGAAATCTAAAGATCACTAGCATAAAAATGTGTCATACATTAAATTTGCATTGCAAAATGTCTTTTGTTTCTTTGTTAGGTTTTAAAATTGAATGTTGGAAACTTATTCACACCTATAATAATTCAAGAATTTATTGACAGAAAACAAAGTGGTATTACTAGGAAAAATAGACAATACAGAAATGTTAGAAATTAGAATTCAAAAAACAAGATTTAAAAACTTTAACATAACAAGATGTAGACGCAACCTTAGCAGTATGTCCACCATGAATAAAAAGCAATTCAGCAGGACCATCTTCCGCATCTTCGGGTGTTTGTTCTTCACCTATTTTACTTAAGTCCCAAACATGTAGTCGTCGATCTGTACCAGATGATGCCAAAATTGTTTCATTATGTGGTGACCACTGAACTTGGAAGATTTCGTCTTTATGAGATTCAAAAGAATGCAATTTCAATTTGAGATTTCTTAAATCCCATAAGGCTACTGTCTGAAAAACAATTTAATTAGTGAACAAATAAAAAAAATAATATCTATAAATGTAACCACAAAATTGCTAAATTATCTTATTGTGTGTTTTTCACTGTTTATTCATTCGTGTTGCTTCGAGATGAATAACAAAAATTTTAAAACTATATTTATAATATATGCTCTCGAAAATATCGTCAAACTTTTTTAATCAATGAAATGCAAAATAATTCAATACCTTATCAGCTGATCCAGTTGCTAAAATAAACTCTGAATATGGATTGAATGATAAACAATTCACTTCTGCCGAATGAGCATCCACTGCATGATTGGGTCTATTTGAAGTGTTGTTTCGAGTATCCCAAATCATGAGTTTACGATCATCGCCAACTGAACCAAATACTGCCTCATGTAATACATGCCAAGCGACATCCTCCACAACTGCATTGTGGCCATTGAAAATCTGTAAATCTTCCACCATGATCTCTTCATCTGAATGCATATATAATGAATAATGCAGATTTATTATAATCGCTTTATTATAATCACAAAAAATACTGCTAGCTATATATATGATAATGATGTCACAACCATAAGAATTATATATGAAAGGTTGTAAAGCACAAACTCCATAATGATGCAATAATACTGCTTTACAATAAATGAAAAAGTTTAGCTCAGTAACCGTTTTTGCATCGAGGAAATTCTGTTGCGCAGTAGCTGCTTGTACATCCCATAAACAAACTGTCATATCATCAGAGGCAGAAAGTAAATGACCTGACAGATTAGGATTCCATGACAAACCATATCCTAAAAACGTATTCATGATTGATAATAGTAAGATAAACCAACGGAATTAAGGAAGCAATAACATGAAAAGGATATATACCTTCTTTAGTATGACCGCGTAAACGTAACTGAGGCTTGCAAATGTTATCAGTGGGGTTAGGAAGTGATGGATGTTTAGTGTAGTCGAAGATAAATACCTGAAAATAAACAGACAAATCTCGTATTCGAAACATAAATAGTTGGCATTCAGCAAAAGATGAACTTTGATCATGATTTCAAAAAAGCATTATTACATATAAGATATGTAAGTTAGTTAGATGAAAGCTATATCTCAACTACTATGACAATAACAATCTGGCAATCAACATGCTGTGACCTCACTGTTAGGAGACTTTGTAGCTAATAAAACTGGATTCTGAGGCATATATCGAGCACGATTAACCTCGCCTTCATGATTCATTTTTATTTCAACATCAATTTTTCCAGTAATGGAGCCAAAGCCACCAAATTCTATAATGCACACAAAATCTCAATGCAGTAAATTTATTAGAATAAAGTGCTTGTAAATAAATTTTGCTAAATAACAAAAAAGTAAACACCTCCTTTTTCTGTATCATATTTAGCAGCATCAAACTGTGCATCATCTGTTGGTAATAGTAATTTCGCTAAAACTAAATGGTTCTGTTCATCCGAAGTGTGAGTTCCTAAAATGAGACGATGCGTTGTATAATCGCTTCCCTCCAATCTAAAACATACATACATACTATATTTTGTACACACTATTCACAAACAGCATCATTACATGGTATAAAAAGAGAATTAACCTCTGTACGTCTGGAAGCCACTGCACCGTTAAACTAGGCCATTCAAGAGCATGTGTCATGACCTTAAAAAAATGCTTTCTTATAGATTTATACAACACTATAAACACTGAAATGCTTGGATTTTAAAGAAATATTTAACATTTTAGAAGTTTACCATGTCATATAAGAATGGCGTATTCTTTTTCCAGATTTTATATTCCTCATTTATAAGTCGCTCTTCGTAACCTTCTTCAGTCATTGTAAAAGTCTGACTGGAATCACACAATTCGTCGTGAATTCTGAAATATGTGTAAAAGTCATGATAATGTAATAAAATAACTGATATAATTTCAAACTTTCAATATCACGAGGGAATTAATTAACAGCACCAATAGAATAATGTATTCAAAAACGAAATTTAAATCCAGCACATATGATTTAGAACATATGAAATGAGAGAAGGACTGGACTGCTGATGGTGGAGCCTCTTAATATATCACAAGATATTTAGTTAATGAAAAGACTTCAATGACATCTATGAAATATGTAAATTTTCATCTATTTTTTATCATCTCTTACATGTTCTACGTAAGAAATGTATTATCTCTTTTCTCTATTCAAACTTTACGAAATTCCATTACATGAAAATGCAGCATTTCTTTATTAAACTCAGATAGAAGCCACAACACTATGAAGCTCAGATCTGTTTGGTAAGCGCAATTTGATACTAAAACTGTGTTGCATCTTAGAATGACTTACCTATAATCCATTTCAGAGAAACAGTAAGCAATCTATGAACCTAAAAATCGCTTTAATTCTGCAAACAACGACGAAATTAATCCTTGAACGTGAAGACTAACTCGGCTGTATCTACCTTACCTTTTACCTAGAATTTTTTCACTTACTTCTCTTATTTAAACAACAAAAACTGAATAATATTAGGTGCTGCACGTACAGATGCAGAAACGTAAGCAAGCAGTTAAATTTAAAACTAATTTAAAAACTGAAAGTCCTAGCTCGCAACAATCAGTGTTACGAAACAGAAAGAGTAAAATACCGTAGAACCACCAGTATAAGCCGTTTAGCATAAATCCTGAAAATTATCCCGCCAAAACCAGAGCAAGCAATAGTAATTCGAATAGTGAGAACTTTCTCAATCAATATATTTAACTAAACCAAAGGGGCCTCAGTGAAAATTTGCATCTCTCATGACAATGATGAAGTTCAAGGATACTGAAAAGGTTTAAAGATATACACAGGGAGAGCGAATGAAAGGTTCCTCTCGAAAACCATATACAGTTTGCTGCTTTCATGAGTCAAATTAGCAACGACAAAAGTCTTTGATTCTTGAGGATGCAACCGTGGTGCTTCATCACAAGCATGTCGAGGTTGGAAAGAAATTAGAACACTGCCAGAACGAACAACTTTGAATTTGGATTATCACTCAGTGCGATCATTTTTCATCACAAATGCTTGAGAAGGGAACGACGAAGAAACGAACTGAAATATCACTTCCAACAAATTACCTTACATCACTGCAGAGAGTAACAATTTTGCACTGTGGTCGATTTCATCGTAAACAGTTTAATCAACCGCGTCGATTCAGAAGTAGGCTTGGTGTACATTAGGGTTTTTGATTAGCTGAACTCGAGATGATTGTTCTAAATTTTCAAAGAAAACTGATGGAATGACTGAATTTCCATTCAGTTTCATAAAACCTTTGGTTTCAATATGTTCACTGAAATTAAGTTCTCGACTTATTCAATTAATACATTTGTAGCCATCCGATCTTAAAGTAGAGCTTATACTGAGCAGACTGAACATATTCAAAAACTGCTTCAAAAACTCTACTTCATTTTATTTCTTGACAGTTATTAACCGGTAGTTCAGTTTGTAACTTGTATGACCAATTTAAGCATCTGGATTTATGATGTACTGTAGTCCTGTTAATCACAATGTTAGTTCACATTTTGTTTCAGTTACTGTTCGGAAATGATTTCAGAATTTTTATATTCTCTAAAAAATTAAAATCAGTCTGAAATAACTATCACCATTTTGAAACAAAGGCTTGAAATAACTATCACCATTTTGAAACATATACTTGTTAATTCAAATCTTGAAGAAATTAGAAATGCAAGTGACTTATTTGCAAGAAAATGACTTCAAAATGTACATAACTTGGAAGCTCCAAGATTATTATTGGACAGTCAAATAAAAATATGATAGGTAAAACATGATTTGGCTAAGTTACTTGCTTTATCGAAGATTGATCTTAAAAATCCATTTTCATAATATTATAAGAGTTCGATAATTTGTTGTTAATTTCAATTCAGAAATACCATAACGAAAATAGCGTTTGCACTTCGTTCCACGTACTTTAGGAAACCAATCAGTAGATTAAAAGTAAACAGTCACTTCTGTGCGCCAACTGCAAACATGCAAATGAGAAGAAAATAATGTAAACTAGCAAGTAGTGAGTGCGGGAACAGATAATTTAAATAGTCAGGACTTTGCAGCTGTCCACAATCGAAAGCACTTCAGGTAGGAAGTCGCCACATTATCAAATTATGTTGTATGCTTTCGCTAATTTCAGGTAAATTTTATCACAACTTAACACTGCCTTCTCAGCCGATACTTATCAGAGATCAGTACTGCAAATACACAAGCAAAAAGAAAGCATTCAACTGAGATATGATTTATGCCAATATTTATATATTACATCATTCTACAGTTCATATCAACCAGCTAAATCCAGACATATAATTTACGTACACATAAACTACACATTCACATGAGAACACACTTGACCTCAAGTCCGAAGGTTAGCCCTTCTTTTATATTATGCCCAATTCTTCTCACACTCTCAGTTCGTCTCTTTGTAAAGTGAATCTTGAGCGCGCGGTAAAACGCATAAATGCGAATAATACATCGACTAACTTTGACGTTTCCCAGCACTTTCAAGGTTCTTCCGAGTACTTGGTATTCAAATCCAACTTCCATAAATTAATAAAATTAACAGCATAAGTTCATGCCATACATAAAGTAAGAATAAAAATTACGCCAGAAATGGAATTCCAGATCCAGAAGTTCGTAATGAAATTCGTTCACTCTCATTTGCAGTAGCTGGATGAGAACGTCCACCAAAAACAAAAAAGTTATAAAAGGGTAATTTTCAAAAAAATAATCCCCCAAAAACAACAAATCAACAAAACGTCTAGATTAATAGTGTATATTGATAGTTGTCAGTTACTAAAAGAACTTCCAAAGGCAATTCACACAAGAAGGAACCCCAGATATGGTAATGTCTAGTACTGATTTGAAACCAGTATTGATCAAGTATATGAAGTCATACACACGACTTGCATTCGTTTACAATTGATATCAAAGCTCACTGTGCATTACCGAACCGTGGTTGGATTGAAGTACTGTCTAAAAGATTGGGAGAAGCTATGAATTGGAGCGAACGCGAAGAATGCATGTACATAAAGAAAGAACAGATGAATTTGGTGGTTTACAAACACTTGAAACCACACAAAATTACTATTACTATTCTGTAATCTTTTCTAATTGTCTCAAACAGTAATGCAAAAGAAATTCCAAGTGCAGGAACGAGTATGCAGATGAGATTCCCTCAAATTAGAGATGAATTCAAAAAAAGAAAAATCGAAAGTGAAACAGTTACCCTGTCGTAAGTAACAGCTATAATGTTGCACTGAATAAATAAACTCAGTGACACATTTTAGCATTTACTTACTGAGCATAATTCTATCACTGAAAGTCATTTCTTCATGAAAATGAAACCATAGAATGTGCAATGAACAATCAGTGTCGCTATCATTACTTCAACAAACAGTAGCAGTACCCACATTTACTTTACACATTACTCGTTGGTACACGGGACGAAAAAGAACTAGCTCTTAACCTAGCGATGTTGACACAATGCTACCAATGCCATCAACATTGGCTTTGATTTTTCAATTGCTGCTTGACTATCATGTTAGCTTGCTCTTTAATTTGTTGCACTACAGTTGAACGGAATGCAGGGAAAGGAATCTGAGACCTGAAATACCAAACGGGAGTCAAGGGGGAAAGAGATGAAGGAGACAAATTTGACGTTCCAGAAATCAGTTGCACAGTGCAAATTACTATTAGCAAAATAAGAGGCAGTGCGATTGACTTGTTGCATTTGCAATCCCTTCCAATCATTAAAGGTGGGGTATGACTTTGCAGCATTCTGATTAAGAATGTATTAACCAAAGTGCCCTGATTGCATTAATTAAAAGATATGTATTTGAAGATAGAACGAGGTCTGGACCAGACTGCCTAGACACTAAAATTCACCGCTTGCTCTAGCTCAACCCACCGCAGCAAGTTATAGAATTACTTGAGTGTATGCATTGCAAATGCATGTCTGCACATGTTATCAAATAGTTCCATGGAAATGATAGGTGCAGAGGTTGTGCCCAGTAGGGGTTACTCGTTCATCTGATTTGAAATTTTCATTTTTTCGTCTCAAGTTGAATGTTTGCAACTGCAACAGCTACAAATTGTTTCGAAATATGAGGTAGCACCTCACATGCAATGCCTAGCATTAATTAGAATGAATAATTTCTTGCAGTCAACTTTGGTTTGGTTGTAGACGTGGAGATATGGCCACAGTAGACAACAACATGCATATGGTCCGAGGTATGTACATTAATGAACCATCCGAAACAAATGTATTCGATTACAATGGATATGAATGTACACTAATCGATCTGCACCCTCATGTTTATGATTATTCCATAAGACCATGTTTATCTCACTTATTTGTCAGAACACAAGCTTCAAGTATTTTCGCTGCTACCATTTATTTTTTAGACGATTGAAGCATCACTCACACCTATTAAACAGATAAGACATCCAGTAATAAAGTCTTGCGAGCAGGACCGACTTTAATTGCTTCTACCAAATCAAATCCAAAACGTTACTACCGCTAATTATCACAAAGCTTTTAGGCGATGACGAATTACTAGACAACGGTTTCGAAGTGTAGAAAGGTCAGTCGACGGTATCACGAAATCATCCACTCTATTTGTTGCTTCACGTATATTTAAATTGCTAGCAATAAGTTGTGAATAATTCCACACAGCTAAGTGTCTACTTTTGCCATGAACACAAAACACAAGTGTATCTTTGGAGCATATATGATCAGTCATTGTATTCCACGTCGTCGTTACCATTCCACTTACGGGACAAAAAAATCCCACCTAAAAATTACTAGAATTTGCTCTTAGACCTTTATATGATCTCAGTAGTTTCTATATATTGTATTTTTCAGGTTCCTATATCACCACAGTTATTAATAATGCAATTACAACACATAGTTTAATACGGTATTCAGAGACTGAAGCTCGTATTCATTGAGTTTACTGACAGCGCTTTATAACAAAAGTAAAACTAACCACAACGCACCAATGAGCAGAATGTCCCGCAAAAAAACTTGGCTCATGATTTTTATCACAGTCATAAGGTATTAGCAAGTATGCACTTTCTTGGATCAAATGTTCCATCTGAGTTGCTGATGGTAGGTTTTGAACTTCTACATCCAGAGTTGGACACAATGAAATCACAATATCTGCCAACCAATCAGCTGAGGGGAAAGAACGCTAATTATACTTAGAATAGCACACAATAATCGAAAAAAGCCCCAATACTTAATTACTGATCGAACTACGGACTGGTTATTAAATATACAATGTAAGCTCTCAATTCAAGCAATTCTATCTGCAAAAAGACCACAAACAATTTACATACCAGAAAACATTTCGCCATACTTCGTATATCCTTTTTGCTTGGCAATTTTTAAAATTTCATCTAGATTTGGACCTGGGAGCTTGCATGCATCGACTATCATTTTCAACGCAACAAGGCCACATCTAGAATTTTATTCCGTGCACAGTAGCAACATGACTTCTGATTTCTACGCTATTAAAAAATTTCTGAGAACTCTGCTCGAAAATGTGGATATTTCCTTGTGATTACTATGAGATCATGAAGAATTAATCCAAAAACTTTTCCTTTCTTCGACAATACCTAGCAAACACGGTTTAAGCACTTAGCTGCAAGTATTAGAATACTCATGCAAAAATGAAATGAATCTGAACAATAAGAGAAAAATTTTGCTGGGGACATGAACTACTTAACATGTTGAATTTTTCCGCAATCCAATCCACGACCATTTGACCAAAACATTTCAGTCATAATTTAAAAGTTTTTAAATCAAATATGTCTACACACAATATTTAACAATATAAATAACTCCTGCTATACTAAATAATACAGTACACCAATTAATTCAAATAACTACAACTAAAATACCTTAAAGCTTACTGGGGTCCACTTTGGAGTAGAGGTTTCACACTTCTAATGTATCCAACGCCTCCTTGACATCCTTTCCCTCTTCCATCACCAAGTATATGAAGAACTCGTCGTTGAGCGACGGGTGAAAGTGCTTCTGGCATGCTTTTGGCATGCATTAGTCTTTCTATAACCAATTAAAAGAAAAAGAATATGCCCATTTCTTCAATCTAATCTCGGACTTCAAGACTTAACTTCTGGTGTTGAATATAGTACTAAGTGCCGTCATAATAAAGTTAGATATCAACAGAAAACGAGTGCACCCATATTTTCCTCAAAAGACTACATTGTAAGTTGTACTTTAATTCAGTACTGAAGTATACATAAAGTAATCCGCAATCACTAAAATTACTAACATTAAGATCCGGAAATCTGATGAAAATATTTATGATGAGAATACCATACTGATTTGAGAAGTGCAACTTAATATAATTTTAGAAAATTTATTGAAGATAAACAAGAGGAGCAACAAAGCCCACAAACGTCAGTTTACTGTAACAATTCTCATTTAGAATCACCTCAATTTTTATAAGGTTATGGATATACAGAATGCTTCATGATATAACTAAAGTAAGGAAAGTTAAATTAAATTTCATATGAATGCAAGATAACGAGATCAAGCAAGAATAAAGGACATTTATTTAAGCTATTCTTCCTGAATATTTTAGCATTCAAAGCAAATACCAACAATCAAATCTACAAACACCACATATCATCTTTGAAATTAGTTATTAGAAACCAAATACACTGCTTGCATATGCCATAGGCCTAACCTGAAAATAGTTTATCCATCACTGAAATGCTGCATAGTCCAGCCATCATTTTCATAATTGATTATTAGTCAAATTCAAATAAATCTGTGTCATACTGTTTAATATTTTTGAAACAGAAGTCAACGTATTTATTCTATATTTTAACATTGCTAGAAATTTGAACCGAAAATGTTAAATTATTCGAATCAGCAAATTATGCATCAAGAACAGTAGTCAAAGACAAATACCAGATCTAATATTATTTTTCTGTTCTTGATGCATAATTTGATGTCATACGACAGATGTAACAGTCCTCGAAAAAAATATCTGTGCTTAATAAATTTATTGAAAGGTATTACTGAAATGAAATAAGTTGTAATCATGATGACTACGATCATCTTTTACTTGAAGGATAAATTAATTTTTTTTCCACTTTTTTTCAAAAATAACCACCTTTTTGCAACACAAACTAAATTCCTGTTTTACTTACCGAAGGATGGTCGACAGCCGTGAAGGAAGTGAAACGTGGTTTAAGACTGTCCCCTTTGATTGTTATAAATGCTCCTTTATTCCCCATCGTATCACTGAATTTTACACAGTATATACGAGAATAATTCAAAAGATTTTACAAAGAAGAAATTCCAAAAAAATTGAAGTAGCAATTTACATTTGAACCAAATTTTAGTAAAAAAATTGTGATAAACGCAAAGTTTACCAATAATTAGGTGCACTAAACACAGTAATACATTTTCCATCGTGATGAATTTCATATCCTTCTGGTTTCACTTCATGACTTCTATAAAATTGAAAAACTCAAAACTTAGCCATTAAAAAAAAATGCGCGAAATAATTTTAAATTTCAATGTGATATGTTGATGAACTAATACAGAAATGCTACCTAACAACATAGTCAAGGTCATTCATTTCACAAAACTTTTTTGTTACATCAGGCCCAAACTGGCAACCAACTCCACGTTTTGATGGTCCTCTACCTTTCACATCTTGTGGATCTGACCAAAGCAAGTCGCACATAATTCCTACAGTATATGATGAATAAAAAATTAAAACTAAAAATTATTAATATATTGTTTTGAATATCGACGATACATTATAGGATTAACAATGAAAATTTCGATAATAATTATAACTATCATACAAATAAAAGCCCAGAGTTTTCGATGCAAACATTGTACCACTTAACACAAGTTTGTAAAAGATTTTGTATCATCGAAAAACTCCAACACGAAACATAAATGTTAGTTTAAAAAAGATCAACCATCATCGGGTGGCTGACGAACACGGTTGGTTTTTTTAATATCATTTAATGTGACACCATCATCCCTGAATAGACCTCCATGGCAAACCTTAATTTTGGATATATTTTTACCTCATGAATTTGATTTTCAAAATTTTTTTGACTAGACTTCAATAAAAACGGGGCATAAAAATACAAAAAAAATATTTGCCTGTCAGTTTAATAACATGAGCAACATCATCTGTTAGATAGAAAGAAAAAAAGATGACTGATGAAAAACGTTGAAAATCCTAATGAAAATAACTTCAGAGCATGAGTACTTTAAACGCTCTATTTTATCAAAAAACTTACAAATACTTTTCCATTAATCAAATGGCAAAGAGGTAGATAATCAAAAATTTCTGTAAAAAAATCAGCCATCTGAGACGTATATTTGCTTTTAACTTCACCTTCGAAACCATACATTTTGTTCATAACATCACTTTCGTGATTACCTAAAGAATAGGATAAATGAAAATTTGAAACTAATTCTTTCACTCTTCCTTTTCATAGAGGCAAAGTCAAAATGAAGGAATAAATGCACAGCAATTATGAAATGCAAAATTCAGGATTGTTTTCATTGAGAAACAGGTGAAATAAATATGAAAAACCTCTAGACATGAAGAAATGTTCAGGATACAAAAGTTTAAAACCAAACAGTGTAAATATAGTTTCAACGGAAAATGAACCGCGATCAACAAAGTCACCATTGAAAAGCTAAAAAAGAGAAAGTCTCAAAAAAATAATTATATTTACAAATTTATCAGAGCATAATTATATGCGAAATCAAATTAATCTGATAGTGAATTTAGCAATTTTGCGTTCACTGCAGCTTGCTACAATATCTCAGCTATAGAATTTAACATAATCAGTTAGATGTCGTCAGCATCTAAATCAAATTATGTAAATTCTGACATTTAAATAATGTTATGTCAATTCTATTAAATGAAACTATCAAATTTATTATTATACGTAAGAA